CTATACGTTAGATACCGAGAGGCCATTATGGTTCGATGGAAATAAAACCTAAGACCATACAGTAAATGGTAATGGACTGTTATTACTTTATTAGCCCTAGCCATATGCAACTGACAATTCGCTTAATTAGACATTTGCCCTTCAATGTTGGCCGCTAATTCCGAATGAACACAATTTCAATCATGCTATTTGAATTTCAAGTCATTGTTGATTTTACTTTCTCTTTTCTCTCTGCGAAAGCTAATTAGTTTCAAGATAAGCACGTGTCAGGGGCCGTTGTAGGTATTATGTTACAAAACGTTTTGCCAGCTGTAGAGTTTTGTAGAAGAAAGTGAGTTGGGTGCTCTAACAGATTTTTATCACGCCCCCGTCCAATGGGCTAAGTCAGATTTTTACTCTGCCTGGCTTTGCGCCGATCTCGCTTTATGAAATAATTCCCGAGAAGAGTGCGATTTTTGGCTTCTGGTCCATGAGACGCAATGGGACCGTAGTGGTTAGCGCGATGGTGGGGCGTGGTTTCCCGTCCAGATTCACTTCGCGGTAACCGAAGCGACGTTTTGCATCACGTAACGCTTCGTATAGTCCATTTGTTATTACTTTCCCGATATGTGATTACCCCCACCAAATGCAGCTTTAACTTTTTTTGCCTCACGTCGTCTATTTAAAAATAAACAATTCTCTCAAACAAATTGTTGACGTGCAGAAGTAGAATGAACAAAATAACGCTACGGTTAAGCGATTCTAGGTGGTATCGCTTACGTTAATGAATGTAATTGAAGTGAATTTCGCTTGCATCCAGTTTTTGTTTACAGAAATGTTGTTTACGCCTACCTGCACGTCAACAATAACGCGTTGCAGTTTGTTTGAGAGAATTGTTTATGTTTAAATAAACGACGTGAGGTAAAAAAAGTTAACGCTGCATTTAGTGAGGTGCGAAATCTCGACGCGGTAGGGGCCACGGTATCGGTGAGGAAGAAACCTACTTGCGCGGCACTCGCGTTTTCGCTGCAATTCGATCGCCCCAACTAGTCTGGGTTTCGTGACGTTGTTGGTATCATCTGAGCCGGGTGTCTACATTCCTCCTTTGCGTGTCCTAAGTGTTTGCAGAACGCGCACCTCAGTTTCTCATAGGCGTCCTGAGGATGGGCTGCGGTGGTGGATTTGGGACGTGAACGATCGATTTTATCGGGTTTCCGTAGCTCTTTGTTCATTAAAGATGGCAAATATTGTTCATTGACCTTGGATTATGACCTTGAAAACGTAATTTGATACCATAACACTATATAAAAGTGAGACCATTGACTTTGACTCACTTTGATAATGTAAATAGGCATTACATAAAAACCAGGTCATTGACCTCGGATGACCTTGAAAATATAATTTGACATGGCAAACATGGGTTCATTGTTTTGAATGACCTCGAAAATTAAATTCGAAACCACATAAAAATGCAGTCATTGACTTCGTATGCTATTAAAATTGTAATTTGACACCACAAAAATGTGGCCTTGGATGACATTAAAAAAAATAGATAAAATTAGAAAAATGGGGTCATTGACTTTTGACGGTCTTGAAAATGGAATCTAACAGCAAAAAATGAAGGTCATTGAACTTTGAATATTGAAAATGAATTATGGTCCCACAAAAATTGGAGCATTGACCTTGGAAATAGAGTTGAATGACCTTGAGAATGCAATTGGACACCACGTGAAAGTGATGTCATTGACCTTGGTTGACCTCGAACATGTATTTTTACACAGCAAATATGGGGTCATTGGCAATGTATGTATGTAATTAGACACCATATAAAAATAAGGTTTGTGAATTAAAGATTATTATTATAAGGTCATTGACATTGCTTGACTTTAAAACTTTAATTAGACACCACATAATAATGAGGTCATTGTTCTTCTATCACATTGAAAATGTAATTTGACAACACAAAAATGAGTCCATGGAATTTGGCTGACATTGAAAATGTATTTTGACGCCACAATTCTGGTCATCGATCTCAGATGACATTGAAAATGTAATTTGACACCTCAAAATGGCGTCTTAGATTACGGGGGCGTAACAATACAATCTATTCTACTATGCCATTACAGTGCGTTATTTTGCGGTCCTCCCCTACCGTACTTCAGGTCATAACGTTGTTCAGAAGTAACGTAAGGGGGGTGTTCGATCGCGTGCCACTTTTAAGCGGTATCTGGTTAGCATGACCTTGAACCTCGAATTGTAAGCTTTGAGGCTTGAGACATGTGCATCGTAAATCTTGATTCATTAGTTTTGAATTTTGAAAATTGAGCCTTAAATATTGGATTTTTAATACTGAGGTTTGAGTCTAGAGTTATTGGTCTTTATCCTTTATTCTTAAGTATTGGGTCCTCGTTGTTGAGTCTCGGTTTTCAGATATTGAGCCTTGAACCTTAACCTTCAATCTATGTATCTTAAGCCTTGAACGTTTTATCGTGGGTATATAGCCTTCAAACTCGTGTTTTGGGTCATGAGGTTTGAGTTTTAATCATTAGACCTTCAGTAATGCGAGCCTTGCATACGACATCTTGAACCTTGAGCATCGAGGTCTTGTGTTATAGGTCTTGAGCCTTTATTTTCATGGTTGATTGTTGAACATTGGGCTTTGATTCGTGATTCCTATGTCCTTACTCTTAAATCTTGAGCCTTTAGTCATGGTCTTCTGGAACCTTCATTGGGACCAGTTTTGAGTCTTGCCTTTCGAGCCTTGACAGTAGCGTATCTTGAATACTAGATCGTAGGATTTGAGAATTGGGTTTTAATTCTCCAACCTTGAATACTAAACTCGTGTTTTGAGGTTTGAGTTTTAATCATTCAACCTTGAACTGTACATTTTGGGTCTTGAATCTTAAGTCTTGTGCCATATATCTGAGTTTTGAGTGTTGATTTGGTAGTGTTGAGCTTTAATTTTTGAATATTAAACTTTGAATGTCTAGTATTGAGCTTTTTATCTTTGCTCTTGAACCTTGACTGTTGTGTTTTAAATCTTGAATATTTGCCTTGGATCGTTAATATTCGGAATCTTGCGTATTGGGTCTACAATCTTAAACGTAACGATAAAGTACGAAGGAAAACGAGGCGAGCCGAGGATGGCTTCCGAATGTCATCATGCACTACTAGAGCAAGTAGCAACACCTACTTGAGTTCGCAGGTAACCGAAGGTAATGAAAAAGCCGATGACTGGCCTTAAATCAGGTGTTTTATGGTCCAGAGCCCGGAGCCGGTTTTTCCACTTCAACACACCAAAACAAATGACAGGACCAACTTTATTGATCACGCTGTACCTCCGGTATCATAATTAAGCATTTTAGGTTATGTTCAAAACTTTCCAACCTTTACTAAAATCAAGCTAAGGCTGTGCTAACTGCTAGTAGTGATTCATTCCCTTTCGTGAAGGTAACCCAACGTTTGTGGCCGTATAACTTAAATAGTTCTTCTTATAGATAGTCATGGATGACGTTATTGTTAAAATAGAACCAGAACAAGAAGATGAACTAAATTTGTCGCTAGAAAGAAACATTGTTGTCAGTAATGAGTTTTTGGGAACTGTACAAGAACAGAATACTACACTCAGTGCAGAACATTGTAGCGACCAGTGCAATGGCGACGAAATGCAGCAACAAGAACGTTTGTCAGATATTAATTCTCAGACTGTAGAATTTAAATGTGTAGTTTGTGATTACGTGGCAGGTAACGAACGAAATTTTAAAAGGCACTGTTTCACTCACGAAACTGCTAACGTATTTAAATGTCACAATTGTGATTATGCCACAAATAGAAAATGCAATTTGAGCAATCATGTCATAATGCACAATCGGTCTAAAGAGTTTAAATGTGAACTCTGTGATTATGCCTCACATAGAGAACACAATTTGAAAATACACACCGTAAAACACGCTCAATCCAAATTTTTTAAATGTGACATTTGTGGTTATGCCACATATCGAAAAGACAATTTGCAACAGCATATCTTAAAACACGATAAATCTAAATTGTTTAAATGTGACATTTGTGACTATACCACTTATAGTAAAGGCAATTTGCAAATTCACGTCGTAATACACAATCAATCTAAAGATTTTAAATGTGACTTTTGCGATTATGCCACACACGCCAAATGCAATTTGAGTAAACATGTCTTATCGCACAATCGATCAAAAGATTTTAAATGTGTAAATTGTGATTATTCCACATATAGAAAGGATCTTTTAAAACAGCATGTTGTAAAACACGATCAATCCAAGTGTTTTAAATGCGGCTCATGTGATTTTGCCACAAATAGAAAAGGAAATTTGAAAAATCATGTTAACTTTAAACACAATCGGTCTAAATAGTTCAAATGAGATGTATGCCACATATTTTAAAAGCCATTTGAATTTATAAAACCTAGTGTGGTAATAAAGTTTATACAATCCGCAGCATTTCTTATTTTATTATGCACCCTTTGACCCCAAAAAGCAATACAGTAACCAAATTTTGGTGTAACCTGCCCCATTAGTGAGACTGCCCGGTACATGTTGTAATACTTTAATATTAAAAACCGCAACACAAAGAATCTCAACTCTAAACCATTACTTTGAGAAAACCACCCTAAAAAATGTTCCAACTACTTTGTAGTGTACTTAACCCCCAGGTTCTTGCTAACTTCACACTACAAGAACACGGAAATAAAGTCAACCCGCCAACGTTTAAAAATGCCCCCCCCCCCCTGAATGACTATTCCCTCCAAAACTAAACGAGATTAGGCTTTAATTTGAAGAGTGGCACGTGATAAAACATCTAAGGCAAGTCCCCCTTGCGTTAGTTGTAAGAACGCTATGACCTAAAACACAGTAGGGAAGGAACGTAAAATAAAACACTCAAATTATGAAAAGCCTGTTTAATAATTATTGTTATTATTATGATTGTAAAAGCTCGGAAATTTAAGTCGAAATAAATTACATTGCAAAAATAAACTTTGAAAATGGTAGTTCACCGAATAAAAATAGAAATAGGCTGGGAAAAAAAAGAACTTACCAATAAAAAAACCAGCCGTCAAATTAATATCAAATTGTGTTGTAAAATTAATTGTTTGTAATGATGTGAATGCGTAACATAAAATTATAACATCACAAAAAGTAGCAGGTATACTTCAAGAGGTAGCATATAGGTTAAAAACAAGTTTCTGGAATTATGGATCAGGTAAGCAGGTACCAAAGATTCTAAGAAAGGGTGAAATACACAGGATGTGACTCATCTTTGGTGCAATAAAGTCCTTTTGTTAAAAGCAAGATGAAAAATTACATGGCCTTGTAGGCAAATTTAACTAAAAACAAGATATGTGGAAATTATTGAATCGCCACTCATTTATCGCACATAGATTCTAAACTGAAGAGCTTTGATTAGAGTAATCCCGCTCCTGCAAGATAGGTAACCCCGCCCCTGGTTTCGGGGTTTCGAGCCTACAGTTGAAAGTCGAAGACAATCACGGAATTAGGTGTCGTAGCTCAATTTTGA